GGTGTTAAAAATTATTTAAATTGTTAATTTAACAATTCAGCTACAAAAAACTTAATTCAGCAAGTTGAAGTAGATTTAAATTATATATTTTTAGATATTATATTAACTTTTAATAGAATTCAGCTAGCTGGATTGAGCAAATTAAATGTTATATATGATTAAAATTGTTCATTTAATCATATAGCTGAACAAAACTGAATTCAGCTAGCTGAATTGATTTTTAGTAGAATTCAGCTAGCTCAACTATGTCAATTTTTATATATTTTTGGTTTTTCAATAATATTTCTTTTATTCATTTAGCAATTAAGCTGTGAAACCACTAATTCAGCAAGCTGAATAAAGTTAAATTATACTTTTTTGCTATTTTCTTAAACTATATTGATTCCTTGTATAATTCAGCTAGCTGAATTTTGCTAAATTGGTAAACATCACATTTGTTTTTCTATTTTCTTTAATTATCTTGAATTTAAGTAGAATTCAGCTAGCTGAATAGTGCTAATTTTCTTATATTTGCAATTTTTGATACCAATTCAACTGTGATAAAGTTGATAAAAAGATTATAATTCGATTCTTTTATATTTATGGCCTTAGCTCTAGTTCAGTTCTAGTATAGTTTTAGTTTACATCTAGTTCGTATCTAGTTTAGTTCTAATTCAGTTCTAATTAAGTTCTAGTTCAATCCTAGATCAGTTCTAGTTCAGTTCATTCCTAGTTTCTTATTCTGTTCTAGTTTAGTCTTAATTTAGTTCTTGTTCAGTCTGTTACCTAATTGGATTAAAGTTTTGCTCCCTCCCTAAAACTAATCTAAACTAATCCTATATAGTTTATAGTGGGCGTTTTTTTATTTATTTTCTCCTACTAAAAAGCCTACAACAACAAAGTGTGTACTTTCTTACTTTATGCAATTTATAAAACAAGGTCAATTTTGTTGGCACTAACATGACAAAACAGAGAAAAAAAACCTAACAACAAAAAGAAATCTATAGGGAAATGAAAAAATACACAATTTTTTTTTTTTTTAATTTTAAAAAAGCAAAACAAAAAATAAACTAGAAATATTAAATAAACTATATTGATAAGATTAAAAACATTAAATTATAATTTATAACGTGATAAGCAAGCAAAAACATCAACTTACCCAGTATCACCCAAACCATGCATAAAAATGAGCTAAAGGGGAAAAAGTTGAAAGAGATTTAATAAATAAATTGCTTAGTTAAATGCAAAAACAATAACTTACGGTGGAAGTATGTTTGGCAGTAGCCTCTATAATAACTGGGGCAATAGACATGATGAAGATGATAAGGATGACAACAGCAATTAACAATTTACACCAAAATGGGTGAAAAATTTTAGATTTGCAAATGCTTTAAAGTAGCTCCGGGGTGGTGTAGTAAAACAACTAGTGCGTTTATTGCTTTTAGGGTAGCAGAAATGGAGTCTGCTGCTGTTTTCTGGTGGTTGGCTAAAGGGTGTTGCTATTCTTAACCAGGTACTTGCAATTGCTTATAATGGTTTTATTTAGTTATTTAGTCCAACGTAGACTATCAAAAACCACAACCGTTTTACTCTGCCAACAGAATGAAACACACAATAGAATAAATTAATAATATATTAATAAAAATCAATTTCTATTGAACTTAATGATTTATATAAACAAATAGCACAAACAATAATTAACATAAACTAATAATAAATTTCTTTCTATTTTGCTTAACCTTTCACTCGTTTTAAGCTAAAAACCTAAAACCCAACAAATAACACAAGAATTTATTAACATGTGGCAGTAGTTGTGGTAAAAAAAAAATAAATAGAATTTCCTTGTACATTTATTGATTTTTGCTTTTTTCCGGTATTTAACTTTTAATTTACAAATTGTTCTATGCGTTGAAGTTAAGCAAATTTCCCACACTTTTTTCTTTATATATTTCCTTTACTACACACAAATTTTATTTGTTTTCTTTAAAAAACTAGTTTTTTATTAATATTTTCTTTTAAATACCTTTAATTTTTAAGAATTTTTAATTTAAAATTGAATTTTTTCCTGAAAAAATTCTTTTCTTCTCACACGAAAAAAATATTTTGCATCAGCTGGATGATGCCAAGAGCAGAGCCGACAAAAAATTACAACGCCGTTCGCTGACGATAAAAATGACAACGGCGTCTTAAAATTAGATTGTAGTAGGGCAGAGTTGTCAACTTTTTTATTAAAATGTTCAAAGTTGTGAATAACCCTTTAATGTCTGAGATGGAAATATGTAAATTATAATAATTTAAGTTGTATAAAATAGGTTTTTGGACTAAAACACATGAATTTTGGAAAGAGAGGGGAGAACTCAACTGAACTCAAAATGAACTAAAACTGAATTAGTAATTGAATATAAATGAACTGGAATAGAACGGAAACTGAACTAGATTTCAACTACAACTGAACTAGAACTTATTGAATTGAACTAGAATTGAACTGGAACAGAACTAGAGCAGAACTTGAACAGAACTAGAACAGAACTAGAAGAGAAGTAGAACTGAACTAGAACTGAACTAGAATTGAACTAGAACTGAACTAGAACTGAACTAGAACTGAACTAAAACTGAACTAGAACTAAACTAGAACTGAACTAGATCTCAACTACAACTGAACTAGAACTTATTGAATTGAACTAGAATTGCACTTGAACAGAACTAGAACAGATTTAGGACAGAACTAGAAGAGAAGTAGAACAGAACTAGAACTGAACTAGAACTAAACTAGAACTGAACTAGAACTGAACTAGAACTGAACTAGAACTGAACTAGAACAGAACTTGAACTGAACTAGAACTGAACTAGAACTGAACTAGAACTGAACTAGAACTGAACTAGAACTGAACTAGAACTGAACTAGAACTGAACTAGAACTGAACTAGAACTGAACTAGAACTGAAATAGAACTAAACTAGAACTGAAGTAGAACTGAACTAGAACTATAACTGACTAAACTACAAAAAATTCTTCCATACCTCGGACATAAAACCCGTATTTTTTGTAACTTACTTACACATTTTTTAACCTATTTCCAAAACACCGAAAAATAAAACAATTTTGTTTTTCATGAAATATATTTTATTTATTATTTTATTATTTAGCATTTCAAATATCTTTTTTTTTATCAATTTATTTTTTTTCTATCAGTTAGTTTAAAAATTAAAATTTCTTGTTATTCAATGCCTTTATTTTAGTTTTTTATTTTGCTTTTCTTTAGCACATACATTTATAATTTATTTCATTATTTTATAACTTTCAATATTTTTATTTCATTTCAATATTTAAATAAATTTTAATTCACATTTACAATAAGTTTTATTTTTTTATTTAAGAGTTTTGTTTAAATTAATAATTTCCTGTTTGGTTTTTTTTTTGCTTACAATTATGCAAAATATTAAGCGATTTTTTGCTTTGTTTAAAAAGTCTTTTATAACATGTAATAAGTATTTTTTTTTTTGTTTGAAATTTTTGTTAAAGTTTTTTCAAATTTTTGTATGAATTGAAAATTATTTCATTATATTTTAATATTTTGTTTTTGGTCATTTTTTGGGGGGTTTTTTTGTTTAAAAATATGTTTGCGTTTTATTAATGTTAAGAAATAGTATTTGTATTTTATTTTTGTTTTATATTTTGAAAAAGGGCGGGTATTTTTTGAATATTTTATTTCTTTCAGTGTAAAGTTTAAATATGTTATGAGTGATTCTTTAGTTGTGAGTGATTGAATTTCGTTTAGATTTTGTGGGTTTTTGTCTTAATTAATATTTATTTTAAAGCTTATTTTTTTGAAACTTGTTGGCGCTTGATATTTTGTTATTTTTTTCTTTTTTTTGTGTATAAAACCAAAATTATAAATAGTTTATTTTTTTCTACATTTTAAGCATTTTTTTTGTTTAAATTTTCATATAAAATTTGTTTTATTTTTTGTTTGTTGTTTTAAAGTTTTAGTTTTTTTAAGAAAAATAAGTTATTTGAAACTACTTTAACAAAATTTTAGTTTTTCAGGGGTTTTAAGTTAAAATATAGTACGAGCATAGAAATATTAAAGAGTTTTTTTTAGTTTTAAACTTAAATTTGTACAAATTATTTCCTTTTGTTAAATATACAAAATTATGTCTTTTTTAAAGAAATAAATAAGAAAATTTAAATATTTTTTTATAAACCATAAATAAACAACTAAAACTATATTTAAATAACTTAGTTTAATATATAATTAACTTTTTAAATAATTTAAAAAACTATATTTAGCATTTTTTGTAACTGTCAAACCAATTTTGTAAATCTTTTAGTTTATTTGTAGTAAGTTAATATTTTGTTTTTTTAATTTTTTATTAAATTTGTGAGATTTTAGCATTTGAACGTGTTTTAAGCTGCCTACTTAATAAAAATTTTATTTTAGTTTTTGTTTTTGGTTAAAGTGTTTTATATAGTTTGATTTACAAAATTGGTTTCTTAAACATTTTTTGCTTTTTCTACATAAATATTAATAAATAATTTAATTTTGTTTTATAAAATAAATAAATTTATTATTTTTCTTTAATTTGTTTAATTTGAAACAGTTTTTTATGTTTACTTTAAACAGAAATCTTTAAAAATTCATTTAATGACTTTATTGGCACACGGCTAAATAACGCCGTTAATTTCTTTGCACTTTGTAAATTTATTTCCAAAGAAGAAGAGTTAACTAGAACTGAACTAGTACTGAACTAGAACTGAACTGAACTGTACAAGAACTAAATTAGAACTGAACTAGAACTGAAGTGGAACTGAACTAGAACTAGAACTGAACTAGAGCTGAACTAGAACTGAACTAGAACTGAACTAGAACTGAACTAGAACTGAACTAGAACTGAACTAGAACTGAACTAGAACTGAACTAGAACTGAACTAGAACTGAACTGAACTAGAACTGAGCTAGAACTGAACTAGAACTGAACTAGAACTGAACTAGAACTGAACTAGAACTGAACTAGAACTGAACTAGAACTGAACTAGAACTGAACTAGAACTGAACTAGAACTGAACTAGAACTGAACTAGAAATGAACTAGTACTGAACTCAACTAGAGCTAAAATTGAGCTGAACTAAGAACTTAACAGAAAAGAATAAATAGCTTGAATTAACGTTTTACAACACTTGGTTTTTAATGTGAGAAGAAATATAGTGTTGTAAAACGTTAATTTTCAAAAATAACATTCTCTTTTGGCCGTAAACACAATTAAAGCGGTTGCGTGTCGGTTTTAATCATTAACCGCAAGTTTACTTAATTTTTTATAAAATTTTTATATTATCTTATAAAATGTTGTTAATTTGTTTTTATTTTGAAATAGATTTGTAGCTTGCATCTTTAGTTTTAATTCAATCAATGGATTATTATGGCTTTTAATTTAAAACGTTCTGTTTTTTATGGATTTTTCAATAGATTTCTAGGTTAAAGTAAACATTGCTTGTTTTATTTCGCTTTTTAGTCTTTGAATTTTAAATAGTTTTTCTTTTTTTTTATAATAAAGTAATAAATATTATTTTAAAAAATATGAAATATTCTTTTGCCAACTTAAAAACTAAAATCACAGAAAGAAAATTTTATAAATAAAAATTTCTATTGCAGGAACTAAAATTATTTTTAGTATATTTTTTACAAAAAATAAAGAATTAATTAGATTAGATAGAAAATAGTTGAAAAAGAGATAAACAACATTTACTTAACAAATAGTAGTTAAAGTTAATAAATAGTTAAAGAAGAAAACTAAACAAGAAAATTATAAAGAAAATAAAATTTCAAAAAAAAACTTACAAAAATAATATTGAACTTTTTTGTTTTGCCTTAAACTCCGTATTAAAAATCTTTTTGTTTTTTTTTTTAGATTTCCATAAATTATTCTATTATCAAACAGCGTGGCAAATGATCTTTTAAATATTCAAATAATTCTTGTGATGCACCTGGACAATTGGTCAACTCTAGCTCTTGCAGATGTCGTAACTGTATAAGACTAGAGAGACCAGATGAGGTGAGTAGTGGACAGCCAGCTAATGATAAAACCTGTAGATTACGCATTGAGCATAAATGTTGTAGACCAAAATCGCGAACTTGCGAACACCAACGTAAAAATAACGCGGTCAGAGACAGCATTGTGGAAATGTAACCGACACCGATGTCGGTAATGTGAACGCATCTGTAAAGAGAGAAAAATTAATTAAAGATTTTTATAAAAAAAAGTTTATCGAATTTGAATAGACTTTTCTATAGAAAATTATTTTGATTTTTTTTGTATTTCCTCTTACCTATCCAAAGTCAATTCTTCCAATTGATTTAAATCACAGGCAATATACTCTAATGAAGCATCGGTTATACGTGGACACCATGATAAATCTAATGCACGCAATTTTTGTAAGTTCTCTGCTATTAATTCAACACCATCATCGGTCAGTTTGCTGCAGCCCGATAGACTTAATACCGTTAAATGTGGTAGAGAATGGACTAAAAAGAAATAAAAAGAAAAAAGCAAATTAGTTTTATATTTACGAATAAATTTAAATAAATTAATACTTTTTCATTTTGTGGTCAAATTTAATATAAGGTTTCTTGTTTTCAAATCAATTTTAATACTAAATAAATTGTTTAATTAAAAATAAACAATTTGAAAACCTAAATAAAATTTCAATTAATTCTTAGATTTAGTTATTTAACCTAAAATTTTATTTACATTTTGCAAACCACTTAATACATCTGCCTAAATTTTAAATCTTAAGTGTTTTTGATTATGATTTCATAAAATCCAATTTAAGATTCATACATATTTATTGACTTGTGTGTTTTCTGTTTTTTTAGCTTCTTTTTCTAAAAACGTTTTTTTATTGCAAACTTATAGATTTCTAGTTCAATAGAACATTTTGTGGTTTAATTTATTGTAAAGATTCACTTACAGACATTTACACAAACACTTTTGGAATACAAATCAGTATTGGTTAGTGTAGAGAGGTGTATGTTTGTGTGTGTGTAAACAATTTTATGACCCACTATTTTTATAACTACTACAAGATATTACCGTATCAGATAACTCCCACAGTTAGAGGCAAATGTAACAGTGAATGACAAAAAAAAAGTAGAGAAATAAATCATCTATAGACCAGTCTAGTCTATATTCTTGGCTATAGTCCAACCTATAATCTAGTATATAGTCTGGTCTTTAGTTTAGTCTATAGTCTAGTTTATGGTCTAGCATATAGTCTACCGTCTAGTCTTTAGTATATTCAATAGTCTAGTCTATAGTTTAGTCTATATTATAGTCTACTCTAGACTCTTCTATAGTCTAGTCTATAGTATAGTCCATAGTTTATAGTCTAGTAGACAAGACTATTGAATAGACTATATATAGTCTAGACTATAGACAAGTTTTTAGTCTACTACATAGACTAGTCTATAATCTAGTCTATATGCTAGTCTTAAATCTATACTATAGTCAAGACTATAGTTTAGTCCATAGTCTAGTCCATTGTCTAGTCCATAGTCTTATATATAGTCTAGTCTATAGTCTAGTCTATAGTCTAGTCTATAGTCTAGTCTATAGTCTAGTCTATAGTAGTCTAGTCTATAGTAGTCTAGTCTAGTATAGTCTAGTCTATAGTCTAGTCTATAGTCTAGTCTATAGTCTAGTCTATAGTCTAGTCTATAGTCTAGTCTATAGTCTAGTCTATAGTCTAGTCTATAGTCCTAGTCTATAGTCTAGTCTATAGTCTAGTGTATAGTCTAGTCTATAGCTAGTATATAGTCTATAGTCTATAGTCTAGTCTATAGTCTAGTCTATAGTCTAGTATATAGTCTAGTCTATAGTCCTAGTCTATAGTCTAGTCTATAGTCTAGTCTATAGTCTAGTCTATAGTCTAGTCTATAGTCTAGTCTATAGTCTAGTCTATAGTCTAGCCTATAGTCTAGTCTAGTCTAGTCTATAGTCTAGTCTATAGTCTAGTCTATAGTCTAGTCTATAGTCTAGTCTATAGTCTAGTCTATAGTCTAGTCTATAGTCTAGTCTATAGTCTAGTCTATAGTCTAGTCTATAGTCTAGTCTATAGTCTAGGCTATAGTCTAGTCTATAGACTAGTCTATAGTCTAGTCTATAGTCTAGTCTATAGTCCTAGTCTATAGTCTAGTCTAGTATATAGTCTAGTCTATAGTCTAGTCTATAGTCTAGTCTATAGTCTAGTCTATAGTCTAGTCTATAGTCTAGTCTATAGTCTAGTCTATAGTCTAGTCTATAGTCTAGTCTATAGTCTAGTCTATAGTCTAGTCTATAGTCTAGTCTATAGTCTAGTCTATAGTCTAGTCTATAGTCTAGTCTATAGTCTAGTCTATAGTCTAGTCTATAGTCTAGTCTATAGTCTAGTCTATAGTCTAGTCTATAGTCTAGTCTATAGTCTAGTCTATAGTCTAGTCTATAGTCTAGTCTATAGTCTAGTCTATAGTCTAGTCTATAGTCTAGTCTATAGTCTAGTCTATAGTCTAGTCTATAGTCTAGTCTATAGTCTAGTCTATAGTCTAGTCTATAGTCTAGTCTATAGTCTAGTCTATAGTCTAGTCTATAGTCTAGTCTATAGTCTAGTCTATAGTCTAGTCTATAGTCTAGTCTATAGTCTAGTCTATAGTCTAGTCTATAGTCTAGTCTATAGTCTAGTCTATAGTCTAGTCTATAGTCTAGTCTATAGTCTAGTCTATAGTCTAGTCTATAGTCTAGTCTATAGTCTAGTCTATAGTCTAGTCTATAGTCTAGTCTATAGTCTAGTCTATAGTCTAGTCTATAGTCTAGTCTATAGTCTAGTCTATAGTCTAGTCTATAGTCTAGTCTATAGTCTAGTCTATAGTCTAGTCTATAGTCTAGTCTATAGTCTAGTCTATAGTCTAGTCTATAGTCTAGTCTATAGTCTAGTCTATAGTCTAGTCTATAGTCTAGTCTATAGTCTAGTCTATAGTCTAGTCTATAGTTAGTCTCTAGTCTAGTCTATAGTCTAGTCTATAGTCTAGTCTATAGTCTAGTCTATAGTCTAGTCTAGTCTATAGTCTAGTCTATAGTCTAGTCTATAGTCTAGTCTATAGTCTAGTCTATAGTCTAGTCTATAGTCTAGTCTATAGTCTAGTCTATAGTCTAGTCTATTGTTCTATAGTCTAGTCTATAGTGTAGTCTATAGTCTAGTCTAAAGTGTAGTCTATAGTCTGTTCTATAATCTAGTCTAGTCTATAGTGTAGTCTATAGTTTAGTCTATAGTCTAGTCTATAGTCTAGTCTATAGTCTAGTCTATAGTCTAGTCTATAGTATAGTCTAGTCTATAGTCTAGTCTATAGTCTAGTCTAAAGTGTAGTCTATAGTCTAGTCTATAGTCTGTTCTATAGTCTAGTCTATAGTGTAGTCTATAGTCTAGTTGATAGTCTTGTCTATAATCTAGTCTATAGTGTAGTCTATAGTCTAGTCTATAGTCTAGTCAATAGTGTAGTCTATAGTCTAGTCTATAGTCTAGTCTATAGTTCAGTCTATAGTCTAGTCTATAGTTTAGTCTATAGTCTAGTCCATAGTCTAGTCTACAATCTATTCTTTGGTCTATACTATAGACTAGTCCATGCTCTTATCTTTAGTGTATTGTATAGTCTAGTCTATAGTTTGGCCAATAGCCTATAGTATAGTCTTTAGTCTAGTCTAATATTTAGTTTATTCTAGTACTATTTCAAAATTTCACTTTTCCATACCTGATTCGCAATAATATAATAATAATTTCCCAGTTTCTTTTGCCCCCCATTTTACTTTAATTTATACAAAATTCAATAGAAAATTTGTTATTAAAAACAATTTTTTCCTATATATTATTGAGAGTAGTTTCCTTTTTTATTGAAATTTTGCTAGAAAATCAAATCAAATTGAAACATACACATGAAATCAAATAAATAAAAAAACTGATAGATTTTAAATGATGATTTTATTTAATAAAAAAAAAATCAATTGATTTCCATCAATTGATATGATGATTGATATGATATTAATGGTAAATAACAAAATCAAATTAAATACTTTTAAAAGAGAAAGCTTAAAAAGCAAAAACGAGAAAAATAGTTTTTTCGGTTAAAATATTAAGTAAAAGAGAGAAAGAGATAAATTAAACTTATTTAATAGAAAAGTATAAAAATATAAATAATTTAAAGATTATATATTGTTTGTCAACAAATCAAGCTGGTATTATTAACAAACGTTTTCCAGCACTTGTTTTATGTCTTTAAGGAAAGAAGTGTTGCAAAACGTTAAGAATTACTTAATTAAGTGTTGAAAAACATTTTTTTATAGTGAACTTGTAGAAATTCACAAACTAATGAAATTTAAATGAACTTTGCTATAGATCCAAGACATTTTTAATTCTGGGTTTCGTTTGCCAGTGTCTTATTACAAAAAAATATGCGCATTTAATATTTTGCATAAAGCTTAAAAGATTTGTGAAAAAAATTCTTATTTTTTTTATACAACAAAGCCTTTTAAATCCTTTATCATGTTGTTTTCTGAAATTACACCACGTTTTTAAAATAAAACTAAAAATATTTTTCCCTGCTGCTGGGTTATTTTGTTAATAATATTTTTTTAAGTAACAATACAACTAAAAATAATAAAAAAAAAAACATAAACCTTAATAATCCTCTTAAAAGCACCTAACTACACGTTAAACAAAAAAACAAATACAGAATATAAAATTTTAAACTACAAATGAGAAAATAAAGAAATTCTTTAAAAAAATGTTTACTATTATTGCCTTAAAACCCCAACCACTAGCTGGTCCCAACAAACCCACCAACAACCATTAAACAAAGTAAATAAATGCATACAAATGTCTATATATAGTAGTGGGTGGTTAACTATGATGATCTTTACTCTTTCTCTCTATCTGGCCCATTATTTATGCCCGGAATACGTATGAATGCAAAATAATTATTTACTTAACAAATACAAATACAATTGCATCCTTTACAGCGAATACTCACACACAGACACACACACACACACTCTAGGAACATTTTCTGTATAAAGTTTTTAAAATTTATCTGGCCCAGACCGAATAACTGCCCCATAAATGTTAAACTAACCCCTTGCCACCCACAAAATGCAATCTATAGTCTTGGCTACTTGTTGTAAATCTTAATACAATGAAACTTTATGCATGCTTGTGCATGCATGATGTATTTTGTACAAATGTAGGAGTCAATAAATGTGGGGCTATTAAGTTACCACTTTAAGAAGTTTAAAGGGTTAAAAACAGTAAGAAGTTCATTCAAATTTGAAGCAATTTTCTATAGAAAAGTTCATCCGAATTTGATCAAATTTTCTATAGAAGAGTTCATCCAAATTTGATTAAGTTTTTTATAGAAAAGTTCATCCAAATTTGATTAACTTTTCAAATTTGATCAACTTCTCTATAGAAAAGTTCATCCAAATTTGATCAACTTTTTTAAAG